ATAATGGAATGGAGCGTTTCCGGGCGATGAGGAAGAGCGGTGGTCCCTGTGGTTGAGATCGGGAACTCGTACTGACGAGGTATGCTAAACAGAACCCCAAAGCGATACATTTCAGGCTGATGGATGTAGCTAACGCTCTTCAGAATACCGGTAGTCATCGGGTCAGACAAACTCAGGAAGTTCTTCAATCGACCGATCTGTTCCTTCATGTATTCGATTTTCTGAGCGTCTTGACCATGACCGTAGGATTTGTATTCGAAGAGGATAGATTCCTTTTTGTAACGGGCGGAACGAAGGTTACCGGCCGTCTCTAAGATCTCGACTTCCTCAGCTTCTTGCTGTAGAGTTTCAATACTGGACGGGTTTGCTGATGCTGCCAGCTTTGAAAACAATGCAGACAAGCTTCTCATCCGATCTCTTGAGCCCTTCCCAATATGCTCTACTTCTCCATTGCCCAAAAGTCGATCTTGGGTCTCACGAGGCAAAGATCCGATGAGCTGGTGAAACAACGTAGACCAGTCTCGAGTCTGCCCTGCCAGAGATTCAATCGCCCTCTTCCTATAGCCAAGCCATGCCAGCCGTCCGAGAAGCTTCTGTGTATGTGATGATTTTGAGTGGATCTTAGCGATGGTGGTCTTCATCTGCTCTAGATCTGGACGCAGGAGATCACAGACATCCACGAGAGTGGCGCACTCATCTGAGCTCAATCCAGCTTCGAGTCCCTTCGAAAATGCGGTCACGAATCTGCTCAGAGTAACTGCACTGACTCTGATCTGGGCGGCTAGGACCTTCTCACCAACTTCTGCTTCGACTAGAGTAACGATCGTAGTGTGTATGTAGTCAACTAGAGTGATTGCGTTGACCAAACTGCCCAGAGGGTCCATTTTTATTATGCCGCTGTGATATAATTACTGTTGCCGACGTAGAGTGTTGAATGATTACTTCTCGGAAACTGTGAGGTCTTTAGAGTCCCGTCTGCTGGAGGACCTGAGGTGGCCGAGACTCATCTCGAACCAATAAAGAAAGAGTGCTTGACAAGAGTGCGCAACAAATCACAGTTCGGGTGGCTTGACCCCTGGCAGCCACAAACTAACTTGATGAAGTCAGCTGAAACCTAGGAACGCCCGGTTACTGTCACCACCTCAGCTCAACACAACTGTTCATATTTCAGCGGATGTTGCTTCGACATATGATCATTTTAACCATGCAGCATGCAGTGTCGTCAAGATTTTATGTTGCCTTAACCTGAGCAACGCGTTGGATATTGACCATACGACTCACATCTCAAGGAAGCGGCCCCCTTCGAAATGTCGTCCTCCGGCTCCACGTATTACTCTGGAAGCGATGACGTCTACTAACTAGAATCTTCCGATTTACGAGGACTTTGTTCTGCAACGGACCGCGAATCAATACTCGCTTGGCCATCAATGCTTCAATTCGTGATCAATTCCAATGTAACTATCATCCCGCCAACTGAGTTTCGTCAAGACGAAACCTACAAAGTTCTTGGAAGTGGAGCTACCATGACATTAATGGAAAGATATTGGGTTCTGAAGAAACAAGCTGTAGCTATCAAACAGCTGAAGTTTAAATTTCCGGCTACAGCAAATGACAAGAGTGCTCGACCTGAGAATGAGAAGCGGCTTCTGGAATCATTCACTCTGGAGCTACGAGCATTGTGTCACGGAGCGCTGGGAAATCACCCAAACATAGTGCGTACTTGACCGAATAATGCTATGGCTAATAACTCATCATTCTCAGGTTCAAATCTTGGGCGTTACATGGGCCGAAAAGGACCTACCCGCTGTCGTAGTCGAGAAAGCCATGGACCTGCATCCCACACTCGACGACGTTTTAGACAAGAGAGTTCTGAAAGGAACAGAAAAGGCGGAAATTCTCGCAGGCATCACGGACGGACTTTTCGCAATTCATGTAAGGCATTCCCACCCGTTTCAGTCTACCTTGGGTGCTCTTTTCGGCTCACATCCCAATTTATCCAGAACCTCTCCATTATTCATGGAGATATAAAGCCGGCCAATATCTTGATATTTTCAGGCATAACAGGATTAGATCTAGTTCCGAAGTTATCAGATTTCGCATTTTCTCATACATCGAAGGAAAAAAAGAGCAGTGGAGGAACTGATTACTGGAATGCACCAGAGTGTAGCCGACACTTGAAAAAGGCACCTGAATCTATCGGAGGAAGTCGTGATATCTTTTCCCTAGGTCTGGTCTTTTGGAATGTCTTGTATTACGAGCGGCCATTCAAAGACATTGGCGACGAAAGAGATGTCAGTGATGAGAACCAGCAGAGAATTCTTCGTGCAAAGGTTTCTGGCTTTCTGATTGAGAAGATCAAAGATAATCCGATGGATGTAAGTCTCGCTATGAGTATCAAGGCTAGATGCTGACATCTTTAGACGTCTTGGATGTTCAAAGAAGGCGGAATCATGGAAGATGACGATGATGCTGAGTGTGAACTCGCTATATGTGAAATCACCGGAACAATGCTGCATCCCATGCCTGCAAATCGGAAGTTCGTGATATACCCAGGGCAGAAGCTCAGGTGAGTTTAAACCTTCGTTATATTTCTCGCTACCGACAAATCTCGGCTGGGTCACTCACAACAACCAGGGAACGGAGCAGGTTAATGGATAAGATAACTGTCGTTTGGAATGGGGAAAAACTCGTCGAAAAAGGTGATTCTGTGCCTTGCATGAAAGCGGAAGTGGAAGAATTGAGAGCAAAAATGACTCAGATGGACATGATGGAGAAGAGCATCAGAATGAATGTCCAAAAGTCCTTGAAGTCTGATGACGCTCCCGAGAAGGTAGGACGAGAATTTTGGCCCCCACTTGGAACAATGTATCTAAGAAATCACTCTAGGCGGACGACTGGCTTGAAGTTGACTCGCCACCGGATGTGATTCAAAAGTTGAGAGAGCATCACCAGGCAGTTCTTCGAGATCCGGATTCACAACGCGAAGACCAGGCGGCTTCTGCCTGGTCTTTGTCGCAATACCATACCCGAGAGGTTAACAGAGATCTCAAATTGGCTCGTGGATTTTGTCTCAAAGCCGCTCTCTTGGGCCACAGTGGTGCGAAGATCAACTACCTCTATTCTTGTATGAGAGACGAGGTTGTCATAGAGGTAGACGCACGGACAGAAGTCACCTGGATTGTAGAAAGCTTGACTTCTGATCATACTTTCAAAGTATTCGAATTCGACTTCCGTCCCCAGGAGATCAGGTCGAGGCTGAACACCGGGTTTGAAAAGTACTTTTCTGCAGTAGATCCTGAGGATTGCAAGCTCATACTACGAGCCGTGTTTGTGAACGACATTCTGGGCGCCTCATACGCTTCCCCGGACACAGTATTCACCAATGGTAAATGGGGAACACTGACGACAGCACAAGAGAAAAAGTTCGAAGAATTCAGAAAAGGATTTGGAGATATGGAAAACAACATTGAAGAGGATACTCTTCATGAGGTAGCTGTCTTCGGGAATGGAGACGTTATCAGAGAGCTGGTCCAGAAGCATAACGTAGATGTGGATTCGGTTCCTCGAGGGGGTTCGTATGCTGGAAAACTCCAGTTCAAGCAGCATTCGAACGTCATAACCCTAACCCCAGGTCACTTTTGCGGAGTTCCTGATTGAACATTGCAAGGCAGATCTCTTGCTAGTATCGAAAAGTCGGCAAAGCGTACTCTCGCTGGCTGTTGATCTTGACAGGTGGCATGCAGTTAAAATGATTCTCGGTCGATTAGGAAACTCTAGAGCAAAGGTTCTCGACTTTCCGGACGCACTAGGTAGGACACCTATCCACTACGCAGCTCTGAGGCATAATTCCCGAGTGCTCAGAATGCTCCTCAATGCCAGGGCATCCTTGAACTCCGCGCAATATGACGAGAAAAACCTGTTGCATCTTTCCGCGCGAGTTGCAAACAAGCGCTGCTTTGAGATGCTTATCAACAGACTCAAACTCCAATCACAAGATGACCTGAGACGTTTGTTGAATCAGAAGGACTGCAACGGTGGTAGGTGAAGCCTAGAATTTACTGTCAATTCCGAGTTTAATGTTGGTGTACTGACTTTATCGGATAGAAACACCTTTGCATGCTTTTTTGGGTTCCAATGCGGACGACAAAACAACGAATAAGTCAAAGGGCTCGCAAGACAGTAATGCCTGGCGCATCTTCCACAAAATAAAGTCCTACATCAGCAACCTGGACGCCGTCGACCGAAGTGGCTCAACCGCTCTACACTCTCTGTTGATATTCAACGGCTTTATGAGCCAGACCGCCAAGGAAATGGTGAAAAGAGGTGCAGACCCTCAGAAACCTGGCATCAATGGCGCAACGGCTCTACATATTGGCTTGTGCTTTTCCAGTGAGGCATTTCTGGTCATCATAATGCAAGACTTCAGCTTATACACTACAAGTGATGGAAATGGCGTGAGTATGTATTCCTTGGCGGTTGGTGAGCACGCGGGGGAACTGCGTGAGCTGTATCGCCGACGTTGGAGCGAAGCATATCTTCGGCTCTGGAAGGTACCAGCTAATGAGACAGAAGAGCATCTGAAATTGGCTTGGAAAGCAAAGGCAGCTGAGAAATTAGTTGAGCGGATTACCTCACAGAACTGATTACAGATGAAAGGGGTTGAGATGTAAGAAACTTGTTGCCATGTATTGTTTCATTTATTAGTTGTTATATTGCAGAGTCCGGGTGGTTTTGGCGTTCATGCATTTTGTAAAAGGTCCATCAATTCCTATTTATTAGTGTTACGTATTTGCTCGAAATGACTTGCTACGTATGATCTGCTCGATTACCATTCTTTATTTTTTGTTCTGGTTCCTTCCGGACCACAAAAGATCTCCTCCGGGTGCAGCATCAACTCCACTTCAGAGCCCACAAATCACGGGATCAGTGAAAAGTTTTTCACACAAATCCTCATCAGAAACCTGGAACTAAATAAGGATTTGCCCTCAAGTCACCTGGCCGGATAGTTCAGTGGTAGAATACGTGCTTTGGGTAATATCAACGCTTGTACGTGGTCTTGGGTTCAATGTAAGTCGCTTCCTGATATCTCTTCTTCCGTTTGATCAACATCTAATTATTTTCACAGCCCCAATTCGGCCCTCTTTGAATGATATTTCTTTTTTGCTCTTTTTACTTGACTCTTTCGCGGTTTCTTTAGTGAGGTAGGAAGAAAGGTTAGAAATAACTTTGAATATATATTTTTGTGGATGGTTGATACCTCCATTGGCACCAGCCAGCCCAAGGTGTTGGTTTCTAGTGATTGATATTAAACTGTCTTGCTATTCTACAGTGCTAGGTATGCTGTATATATAGACTTCGAGTGCCTGTACGCGGCCCCACAGGCCGCGCGTACAGTGGCGAGGCTCTGTAATCATAGTCTATATTACAAATCAACACAAGGCTTCTCTCCCAGCAAAATATTCCCCATTTGATTTTCTATACAAAACGAGCATCAAGCTGCTTCTTTCCCACCGTGGAACCAACCTCAACCTCTTCGATCAACAACAGAACTCGTATGTGTATTATGATCAAGAAACACAACATCCTTCCTGCCATCCACCTCTCTTCCTACAACTTCCCAACCATCCGGCAACGGTGCTCCTTCAACAGGAATAGGGGCGAAACCATCACGGTGAGGATTCGGTTGGCGAGGGTCGTAGTATGTCTTTATGTTTGTTTCGGTGTGATACCAGAATTGTTGATTTGTGGAGGTGGTGCCACGGACCCAGCCCGGAGGGAGGGGGTCGTTGGAATTTGAGGCTGGAGGGGGAGGGGAGCTTGGCATTATTGAGTTCGGTGAAGACTAATTATATTTTCTTGGCTTGGATTCGAAGATTGTGAATGCACATGGAATATTTGATGCTGATTGAGCAGTTTAGGATGCGGATTTATCTCTATATAAAGTCGCTGACTTTATGTAGGGACACTATTCGCTGTGCCTCGTCTAGTCCGCCACCTTGACCTACGTAAATAACTGCCACTTCTGTTCCCGAAGTTTCAACTAACTCATTGTTTTTGGCCGTCTTGATATCAAGTGACGAATTAGAATGTTTCAACATGCGTAATCTAGTGCACATGTGATCTCACTAGCCTCGACTTGCTTGACACGATGTGTCCAAGTAGGTTCAGCGGGGTAACTTTCTCACAATGTGCCTCAAGTGCTCACGCGGTCAGGTTTCCCATCCCTCCAAACTCAACGACTTTTATCCACGATAATCACCGTCCTCATCTCATCCCAAGATCAAACATTCCTCCCAATCATTATCGCCCCTCATGTCGCTCGGTCAGACGGAAGTTTTATCACCCTCCCCCACCCAATCTCACGCCCTTCCCACCATCTCCACAACAATCTCTACAGCACATCTCGACCGGCTTCACATTCAATATTTCGTAAATTTGGCCCTCGTGCACATCTTTGGCCGTCCGATGAGTCTCTGGTTTTTATTCGTTTAACCCTGGAAAGCTCTCGGAGCTGTTGATAGGGGCTCGCTTCAGCTCTCTAAATCACAGCCGTAAGATCTGTGAATGCTGCCTGGTCCCATTTGAGAGGCTTCTCAATCGGCGATACTTAAATAATAGCTATCCTCCTTATAAAGGCCGAATTTCAGGTTTGATTTTGGATATCCACATTGCAATCACAAATTAGTCTAAGACAATATTAGCAGTCTCGGAGAGACTGAAAAATGAGTGAGATTGAATACAAGTAATCCTAAGAACAAAGCGATATGGGCAATCAAATCATGGCTCGATTGCGGCCTGCAGCATACAGCTTAGAATCAGGGAGTACAGAGGCCCTTGTCGCCCGTCAACCCACATCGGTACCCGGTAGTCGAGGTACTGTCCTCTGTAGCCGCATGTTAGCACTGGCCTATACCGAAGGGGTAGAAGTCGAAGCTTACGGTAACAAGCAAGCTGGCGCTTGGAACCAGGATCGCATTCGTAGCAATCTGTTTGCAGCCTACATTCTCCTACACCAGGTAATCTTATTAGTGACCTCTCACACGAGTTGCATATGTATGGGTGGGCAGTACCTCCATTCCCCTTGGCTGCCATAACGACAGGAGCGATGAGTGCAAAGAGGATGGTGATTTTGCCGAAGGAAACCATTTTGAATTTTTGAGAATGAATTGATATAGATTGGAGATGTCTGTTGAAGTACTGAGTCGATGATGAAATGATTCGAGTTCAACAGCAGGTGAAGACCGCTTATATAGCAATCCAAGATCTCCGCTCCCTATTATTAGGTTTTGAAAAGATGCATTAACGGTACTTTCCATAATGTCATCCTTCAATTTTCTGTAGCTTCCGCGGAAACCTTGAGAGCTATTTATCGGGAACTTTCTCTGACCTTCCGACGAGTGGGAAACTTTGCTTAAATTTTCCCTATTCCAAGGATGACGCACCGTAATCACTCGCTTGACCGCCAAACTTAAGTTTTCTAAGTTATGAACTCATTTCCGAATTCGAGGTGAAGCTTTAGAGCTTTGCATACAACTGCTGAGTGGAAAGGAGAAGGGCCCCTTTCGGGATTTACAGTCGACACTTTCAAATCATCTTTGAAGGTTTCCTCGTGCTCGCTTTCTTACGAGACCGAACTCGTTTATAGCGAGTTTGTAAAGAATAGGTTTCCCCCCCCAAACGTCCTTATAATCTTACTCAAGTATAGTTCAATTTCACAAACAGAGCAGAGGTACAGGTAAGAAGTGTTTGCCTTAGTGGATAGAGGCTTCAAACGACATTTTTGAATTCTCACAAAACATAACATAACAGTAGGTTTCAACAAGTTTTTTTAGTAGCTTCATATACCTGCCAAGTTTCCCCACTTTCAATACAAAATATTAAATCCCTCGGGTTTTTGGATTAAACAAGCCGCTTTCGGACTCTGATACACCCGCCTATCCTATCTCCCCCATATGTTGGGATATTAAACCTTGTGAAAACTGGAACTGGGGTGAGTAGTCCATTGAGGACACTTCTCCAATACAAAATGATACTTCAAGTCCTGGAAAGTCACTAGAACTACAAAGACCTTGGCCTTTTTTTTTTTTTTTTTGCAAAGCGGCTCTTGGCTCGTGCTTCCCAGTCTGGTGACGGTACCTAACCAGTCAAAGAGCTGTCGAGACTTCCGTTCCGACTCGCAAAAAGATTAGTTCGATATTCAAACTGAGGGTGATAGCGCTATTGTAGTGAGACAGTCTAAAGGTTTTAAAAAGGAATTACACTTCATCGCGCGCTCGATCTCGGCTCTTTCATCTTATCTAATTAATGCGAATCCGAATCCGAATCGAAATTCAATTTATTGAGTTTTCATCTCAAGTCTCATATTGCCTGGCACACCGCATCAACTCTGCTTTTCATTCCAATTAATTAATTACATCTTCGAGTGAGATTTAGTTTCGTTAGTAGAGTTACCAAATACGAAACCCTGGGGTTGCAAAAGTACCGGTACCTTGTTGCCGGAACGCCGTAAAGCTTATTATGACCAAGACCAGGGTTAGGCGGTGTAGTTCGATATTGGCCTTACTATTCATTCGATACAGTATACAAGGGATTCTTAGGAATGCAATGGCCGAAAACAAACCCCGTCAATGCTGACATCCATTCAAGTTGCGTTAGGTCCTAAAATGACACGTTATATTCGTAAAACTTTCGATGGCAAGGTTCATTTCGTAGGACTATGCCCTTCAAAACTTGGATTGGAGCATTTGATTTAAAGTTGTACACAACTCGCCCCCACAATATTCTTCAGCATTCAAGTGAAATACAAAAAAAAAGTATCCAGAAGTCGTTGGAAATCAAGGCTGAATATCAGCTATCGATAGATATAATCGTGGCACTTCTAATGACTACGGAAAAGCAGCTCAGTATCTCTCGGTTGCCCCACCTTGCAATTAAGCAGACAATACAGACTCTCATTCGGAAAGCTAAGTCACCGATATATCACTAAATTTTACCTTCCATTCGCTGTTAGTACTGTCAAGGCCATATATATATATATCATAGTTTCACGGACCCAATCGACCCAATATGTTCGAAGAAATGGAAACTCGGCTTATACCTCGTATCCTCACCGGGCATCTAAGCCAATGAATGCATTTGGCATCACTCTCTTATCTACCCAATTGGGTTATAATCAGGGTTCCTGCTGACTCTTCTCGTATATCTATCAATTAAGATAGCGCTAATACTTCCCCAGAATTGAAATATCTCTAATCACCGTACTTTGCAACATATTGTTTCGTTGATGAATCGCTGCGCCCGGACACCCCCACCAAAGGAGTCCCAAGCCCACCAAATGGCTAAAGCTGAAATGCATCTTCTCAATTGCCCATTTCAAAAACTTGGTTTCCAGACATGTTCAATTCATTTCATTGGCTTTGAGGCAGGTGCCGCCCGGATGAACATGCCAACACATCTGTGTGACACGCCACAGCCTTGGGCGATTTGCCTCCAACAAGCTGCCATTGGGCTGAGCTGAACTTCGCAGCCGCCAAGACATATTTCTGATAAGGCTGAGGAATCAGAGACCTTGGTTCTTTATCACATGGAGTTCCGTGTTCTACGAGGCTTAAGCCTCCTTTCATCACATTGAACATGGCATCTCATGTCTTGTCGTCCAGCCTTGCGATGGAACATGAGAGTGAGCGACGCTGCTCGGGGTAGCTACTCGCATTTTCAAATATTTAATATTCATTTGTCACCAATTTGGCATGCTTCTTTCCGGTGGTAAATAATTCGATTCTCAATTCTCTTAATCTGGCGAAGGAATTATTCTTGTCGTGATGGCTGCCGAGGTTGCGACTCCACACATCTCACCCATCGATGTCCCAAACACCTCAATCATATATCACAGCGCAACTCCGCGACAAGGTAGTACCGTAGACGACATACTTCCAGACGGGTTTCATCCCAGGAATGCTGGACAAAGTAGCGTACGTACGGGTCCCATGAGCGGTCCTCATACTGTCGTTCAAACTTACGAAAGTGGTGAGCCCTCGAGAGTCAACAGTCCTCCCGCTTTCACACAACACACCACCGATGCCCAAACGACA